GACCGGACCGGGCTCCCGGGGGAGGGGTTTGGGGAGGGGGAAGCATCTCACACGCCGATGATCCCCAAGGGGTCGGCGGATTCGGTTGCCCCATCTTCCGCCTGAATAATACAACTCGGAGTTGGAGCGCATTTAACCACCAATTGTAGTTTAGATAAATCGACGTGTTCCGTGAAAATACAAACTTCAATGTTAAAGTCGCCACCTATGATCGAGGGGTGGCCATGCCTTGTCATGTCATAGCCTATCTTGCGCATGATGTCATAGTTCGCTTCACACAAGCCTTTGCTTGTGATGAAGTAGACCGAGTAAAGAGCTATGACCCCATAGGCCTTCGATCTAAAGAAACATCTGCTGACACGTCCTGGAACTATGACTTGATAATTGTCTGCCCAGGTATCGAGATGTCCACGCGCAAGGATGAAGACCCCACTTGAGACTCCACCTTTTGGTCCTACCAGGCCCTGGGTGCCGTAGACCTTGTAGCCTGCTCTCTGTAGCTTTTCCACGGTTTGCTGGTATCTGTCTTTTCTAAGCCGGTGTTCTTGGACGAAGATTAGGTCCGAGGAGACTTGGGGCAGAATATCAGCCCCTGTTGACCAAAGGTTCACATTCATGGTGCTGATGGCAAGGTCTTTGGGACGTACTCTAGCTTTACACCACGGGAACGCTGCTGAGGTACAGGTAGGCTACCCATACAACCCTGCTCCCTCTGCTGCCGACGACGACGACCCTGCAACGCCCTTGCCACCATGCTGTCCCTTCTGTCCCTTGAACTGCTTAAGCTTCGCTGCAATTCGCGATACCGCCTCTTGGTGATCGTCACCAACTCCATTGGGGAAAACCTTAGCATAAGCCTGGGTACCCTTGAGCTTGTCCAAAAGTCCCTCCAGGTCCACGTAGGAGCTAGAACGTTTCTGACGGCACGAGAAACCCATCTCCTCATCCACCTGCTCCAGCTCCTTATCGTACCAAAGTTTCTCTTTCTGCCCATCTTTCTCCCCTTCCCCTTGTTTCGCCTCCTCCTCCTCTTTTCCTGCCATGTCCTCATCTGGGGGAACTGCTGCTGAAGCCGCGTACTTCGAATCGTATGCTTGGAAAAGCTATTCCTTATTGGGGTGAGCTTCGATGACCTGTTCCCACACAGCAAGCTTGTGTTTGAGATCCTTCGTCGAGTACATGCTGTTTGCCAACTTTTCACTCAGCGGCTTCTGAGCGCATGGTGTCGAGCTCACTCTCCAGGCCTTCAGCTTTAGATAGCAGCTCCAACTTGAGGGTAGACAGAGCTTCCATGACACCTTCGAGCTCGTCCAACTCATTTTGCACCTGCTGGAGCTGCTTTTCCTTACGTGGGACGGCATGCTCGTGGTGTTGAAGCTGCTTGCTGGGAGGTGCTTTATCCCATCGCTGTGCTTGGGCTGCTGCATATACTTCTTCGAGCTGCTCCACGAATTCGATGGGGAGGTCATTATGCTTAGAGCGCGCTTGCTGCACCACTTGGTGAAGACCATGGAGGGTAGGCGTGCCTTTACGACCTGCTGCTGCTCCTGCTCCTCCAGCACCTCCAGCACCTCCTCCAACTCCACCTCGCCCTTGTCCTCCTTGTCCTCCGCCTTTCTTGCCCTTGGTATTGCCCTTCTGTCCTCGTTCTCCTTTGCCTCCACCTCCCTTCTTCCCGCCCCCTCCGCCCATGTGGCCCATGTATTGCTGGCGGAAGCTGCCGTACATGTAACCTGCTGATCCTTTCCCTGGGGGAGGCGGGACCCAACCCTGAGCGAGAGAAATGAGGGCTTGGAAGCCTGACGGTAAGGGCGCACCACAGTGATAGCACAATTTAGCCCAAGGAGTGTTCCATTTGTTGCCGCAAGCAGGGCACACCACAGCATGCTGCGATTTGGGGCCATTACGGGGCATCTAGGATGCGCGAGGGGCTGGTGGGGCCAGGGCGCACCTGGCAGTGAGAGAGGAAACGACGGGGTATACGGTGATCCCCTTGTAAGCAAAAAGCGTCCAGGCGCCCCCTTGAGTTATGGGGGTACCACACACGGCTTGAGCCAAAATGGCTACGGACTTCCTCCTCATCCACCGTCTCCTCATCCTCCGCCTCCTCCTCCCCCTCATCCTTCTTCTCCTCCTCGTTCTCATCCTCCTCCTCAGTCTCCTCATGTCTCTCTTCCTCCTCCACTTCTTCCTCCTCCTCCTCCACCTCCTCCCCACTCCTCCTCCTTCTCCTCTTCGTTATCCCTCATCGTTATTCCTCTTCTTCCTTCTCCTGAGTATCCTCCTCCTGCTACTCCTCCTCATCATCATCCTCCCCATCCTCATCATCATCATCATCCTCCTCGTATTCCTCCTCCTCCGCCCCCTTCGTATCCCCCTCCCCCATACATTCATCCTCCTCCTCCTCATCATCATCATCCTCCTCCTCCGCTGCATCATCATCCTCGTCCTCCTCATCCTCATCATCATCCGCATTCTCCTCCTCCCCCATCGGCCTACT